TATAATAGAAATAAATCGAGTTCTATATAGACTATAAGACTTTTCTATTCTATAGTATAAATATTAGATAAATATTCTTAAGAAAATTAGACTCTCTATATTTAATAAAAAGTTCTATATTTATATAAATATAGATTATAAATCTTTATTATTTTTTATATAAATAACTTCTAAATACTTTATTATAAAAATAATAAAATATATATTTAATTAATTATTATTTAGATTAAGAGAATTTATAAGCTTTATAATATATGAGATATAAAATAGTTTCTAGGAATTTATATAATTAGGAATTAGAAAACTAAAAAGCTTTAGCTAGTTTATAGTATTTATATTAAGAAAATTATTAAAAAGTTTAGAATAATAAATAGAAAGTATTCTAGTATTCTATTATCTGAAATTAATTTTTAGAAATATAATAATTAAGCTTATTTGTATTAAATTAGATATATTAGGAGAAAATTAAATTACTATTTTATATTATAATTATAATTAGACTAGATATAACTTTTATTATTTGAGTACTCTTTTAGTTTTTAATAAACCTTGTTTTAAAATACTTTATAGCTATAGATTAGGCTTTATAATACTTATTTAGAACCCGGTTTTTAGTAATTTAATATAATAGGAAATATAGGAAAATATAAGTATAAATTATATCTAATATTTTATATATAAATAACCTAAATATATAATAATTAAACTATAAATATATAATCTCTTATTTAAAAGTTTAATATTATAGAAAGCTATTTAATAAAATACTATAATTATTTCTTTAACTAAATTAGAAATATATAAAATTACTTATATAATAAAAGAGACTATAGCTCTTTAAAGGCTATTTAGGGATTCATATTTAGATTTTAGAGAGTTCTGAATTATATTCTATAATAATAAATAAACTATTTAACTAATTATTAGAAAAAATAAAAGAATTATTATAAAGTTCTATTATATTAATATCTAGAATATATAATTATATTAAAAATATAATAAAAGTATCTTTTAAGTTATATATCTTTAAATAAATAATATATCTATAAATAAACTTATTAAAAAAATATAAAAAAATAAAAGAAAAAAAAAGTTAAAAAAGAAATAGAATTAAAAAGATAAAAGAATATAAAAAAAGAAAAATTTATAAAAGATAAAAGAGATTTTAGTAAAAAGAAATAAGAGAAAAGTATTAAAAATAAAAGTAAAAAAAAATAAATTAGAAATAAAAGAATAAAAAGAAAAATTAAAAAAAATAAAATTTTAAAAAGAGAATTATAAAAGAAAGAGAAAAAAATAGTAAATAAAAAAATAAAATAAAACAAAAAAGAAATAATAATAAATATAAAAAAAAAAAGAAAAAGAAAAAAAAGAAATTTAAGAGAAAAAGAAGAAGAAAAAAAGTAATAAAATTAAAATAAGAATATAATTTCAAAAAAAGATAAAGAGAAAAAAAAATATAAAAAGAATATTTAAGAAAATAAAAATAATAAATAAAATATAAAAATATAAAAATATAAAAGATTTTTTTTTACTTCTTATATAAGGCTTCTTTTTTAATAAGAAAAAAGTATATATACTAGGAGCTAGCTTACTTTTCTAACTAATTAATATACTTTTTTAATTAAAAAGTATAATAGAAAAAAAGAATTTTATATTATTATTATTATTTATTTAAAGAGGCTTATTATAAGCCCTGTTATATTTTTATATAATTGCCTATATTATATAATAATATATTACGCTTATAAGTCTTATATTATTTCTAAATATCTAGTTTAAGAGTAATACTTTAGGGCTGCTTTATATTGCCTTTTAAAAAACGTTTTAAAAATAATTCTTTAGTTTTTAAATAGTTATAACTTGAGAAGTATTAAGGAGCTTAAGGAATATAAGTCTTATTTAAGAAATTAGTATTAACTAATCGACTACTTAGCCAATTATAATAGCTTTCTATACTTATATTATATATATTATATTTAGTACCTTCTTAAAATAAAAGAGTACATAGTCTCTTATAAAAAATACGTCTCCACTCTATACAGAGTACCCCGCTGTCTTCTTGAATACACCATCCATCTAATATGTAAGCATTGCTAAGAACCTAATCGTCTCGTGAGCACAACCAATCTCATAACCCGCCGGAAAAAACCCCTGACACAACCCCCAAGGGAATTATTTCCCATACTGAAACAACTCCAGAATACCCTTCTGCTCGCAAGCGGCTGCAACATCCAGACTACTCCTTCCATTCCCATCCTCTTCCAAAGGATTCAACCCCTTCCTCATAAAAAACTGATACAACTCCTTATCATGCGTTGGGACATGATCATGATCCTGCCCGTGCTTCCTATAGACCTTCTCCTTCCCCCTCCTCGCAATAACATGCAAAGCATTCTCTCCATTCATGTTCTTCGCACCAAAGTCTAGAACCTTGGTCACATCTTCATGGAAATAAGTAGTGAAGTACTGTAGATGGCAGCACCAGTCTTCAGGCGCATCGTACTGGTCGCGCTCCGCAGATGACAGGAAATAGAACAGTGGTGGTGCTCCCTTGTTGTCCCGCACGTTGATGGACCCTCCCAGAGAGAGGAACTTCTTCCACAGGGCGAGTGCACCGGTATAGTACTCAGGCTGGTGGTCTCGAACGAAGTTGTTTCTTCTGCAAGGAGATCGGTAACGAAGACACTGCTCAGCTATACGGTGAAGAGCTGTGGCACCCGTTGGATCGGCGCTCAGTAAGTTTACACCCATTGTTATCATGACCTCAACCACTGCTGGGCGAAGGAAACGTAGAGCACAGTTCAGAGGCGTGAAGCCGTCTCCATCTTTGCGATGCAGTAACTCGTTGGCTGACTCGTGGGCGAGGAATTGAATGATAGCGTCTTCTTCCATTCCAGGGTTATCGAGGAGGTGGTGCAGCGCATTTCGGCCTTCGTTGTCAACTATCCGTGGATCGGCACCAAAATCAAGAGTTCGGAGGAAGGGAGCTGTTTCTTTTGGGGACCGGAGTTTGTGTTGGTAACCTGGGAGACATTCCATCCATTCACACGCAGCTATGAGAACTGTCCGCCCAAGCGAGTCTCGAGTGTTGAAGTCAATGTTGACCTTAGACGCGCAGTCGAGGAATGCAGAAACAATTTCGAAATCTGCGTTTTCAGAGACGTAGTGTAAGAGAGTTTGTTTCCCATTCAATGCAGCGTAGATGTCTGCTCCTCGCTCGATTAGTAGTTTCACCAATGGAGATGAATGCTCGTCTCTTTGGTTGTGCAGATTGGGAAACGACGCGTAGAAAAGCGCAGTACGTGCGACGTTTTTGGCTTTGTAGTGGAGTTGGAAGCCCTCACCGTCGGTATTGGGATCTACAATGTTGGGGCTCACACCAGCGTCGAGCAGAATGGTAAGCGTTTCGAGGCATTGGATTTGGATTGCTGAGAAAACTGGCGAGAGCTTCCCGGCAGTTAGATCTGCACCATGTTCCAGGAGGATTCTCATGATCTGAGGGGATGAGCTGGCTTTGTGAAGACAGGAAAGGCCGTCCTTGTCAAGGATATTGACGTCGGCTCCTGATTGGAGAAGTATTTTGACCACTTCAATTCTCCAGTATCCGTACACATCGTCTTGGCAATTCATAGCTGCAAAGGTTGTTCCTGTGCAGGCTATGTGAAGTGGTGTCTCCCCTTTCTCGTCAACTGCGTCAATCTTTGCTCCCCCCTGGAGAAGGTAATTGATTGCCTCGAGTTGCCAGTTGTACCGTGCTTTTGCGAGAACGTGCAGAGCAGTCCCTCCTTCGACGCACTCGGCTATCTTTGCCCATCTCTGGGGTCTAGCCAAGGTGCGCGCGTTGACATCAACACCACATTTGGCAACGAGCACCTCGACAATTTCCATGTTTGGCAACTCTCTGGCGCAAGCTACATGGAGTATCGGTGTTAAATTTTCGACTTCTGGGCTGTATTTTGTATCTGTAGATAATTGCTCATGAATCCGCTCCATGACAATCTTGGGGTCATCGTTAAAACAAGCCAGGGCACCAAAACTCTCAACCAGCTGGGTGAGACCGTTCGAGACAGTAATGTGCAACAAGGATTGCTCTGAGGACTGAATAGGTTTCGCCTCGTCAAATCCTATAATGTTACCACGATTCTTTGCTATCCACTCAATATCGTCGAACGTAAGGAAGGGCAGACATGTCGAAAGGTTCCGGAAGATATAATCACGCAATGGATCTATGAGGTCCATTTTTGACAAAGGTGAAACATTTAAACCCTTCAGAGCTAGAAGAGTTGAAAGCCTTCGATCCTCGGGCTTCAGGTAATGTTTTTTACTGAGAAGCGGAGCGGCAAATTCGAGGGCCTGGATCATCCCCTGACAGTCAAACTGGAGAGCGAGGTCCAAGGGGGTTTGAAGATGAGAGTCGTCAGCCATGACATCGCTCCCAGCCGAAAGGAGTTGTTTGACAACGAGGCCAATGCTAAGATACTTCTTATTCATAGCCTCGTCACCACCCTGTGGTCTCAAAGCGTACGAGTCGTCCCAGGCGAGTGGTGTTTGGGTTGCTGGTCTGAACCGATCATGAAGAACCTGACCAGATGTGTCATTTGGATGCATCAATAGTTCCCACAACCTCTGCTCGTTGGGAAATTCAGCGCAAGCGTGAAGAGGTGTTCTCTTATTCCTGTCGGTGATGGTGATATCTGCGCCGGCGTTGAGAAGCAGCCGAACTGAGTCTGGTTGGCCTGATGTGCAAGCGTCATGAAGAGGAGTTCTCCCGTATTCGTCTTGTTGGTTAAGCAATATCGGGTATGACTATAATCAAAGATAGTTAGCTGGGATTGCTGTGTTTAAAGTGTGAGTATGGAGAGGATGATTTCAGGTTGGAGAGTATGATGGGGATCTGTGGGGAGATGATAGGGTACGGATAAGACGACTCACTTGACAAAGATATCCGATGACGTTGCTTTGACGAGCTCGACAAGCCAGATGAAGACCGTTTCGCCCCTTTTTGGTCAACAAGGTTGGATCTGCACCTTCCCCGAGCAAATAATACATCCGGGTTTCGGAACGTAACGCAGCTAAATGGAACACAGTGACTCCATCCGAATCAGCTTCATTGATATCGACGGATTTTTTGTTCCTTCGTCAAAATTAGATTCATTATTCAAATTTGAGGGCTGATCTGGGGCAATGAGTGAAGTTTACCTCCGAAACAAATTTAGTAAAGGTATTTCATGGCGCTCATGGAAACGCTCATCAAGTCGTTTTCGGACAGCGTTCGTCGAAATACTGGCATCCCAATTGTTAAGATGGACATGAAGCGGAGTCATGCCTTCATTGTTCTTTGACTTGACCGAAATCCCGTAGTCGAGGAGTTTCTGAATGAACAAGTCGTCGACCTCATCACCTTTATAGATCTTTGCACGCAGATGCAGCAAATTATTTCCTTCATAATCGACCTAGAGTCAAGTTAGCATTGCCTTGGAGGTCTCCTTGGGCAACCGAGGCTTTGCAACACTTACTTGCATTGGATCCAAGCCCATGTCTACCATTTCTTCCAGTCTCTGAAGGCATTCATGAGGTTCACCGTAGGGACTACTGGAGGTGTAATAATGAAGAACCCCTCTGCCTTTGGAGTCAACGACCTTCAGATCCGCGCCACATTCAATGAAAGCAGAAAAGAGCTCCTTAGACTTCGCACTTCTCAGCAAGACAGTCGCTCCAATGCTATCACGATCTTCCAACGACACACCAAACTTTTGGAGCACGCGAATATACCCGGGTGTATCTTGTTTATCCATCCACGTGGACAATTTCCACGTGCAGCGTTTGATCGTTTCTGCATCAGCACAGGACCGAAGGAATGATGTGAATGTTTCCAGGTTGCACCCCTGCCTTTCCGCGGCGTATTCTATTGCCGTGATGCCGGCGTTATTCTTCACGTCACAACGTGCCCCCATATCCAAAAGAAGATTGATAACATCTACCGTGGATGAATATCTTCTCATTGCTATATGCAGAAGAGTGTTTCCACCCTTGCCAAGAACATCTGCACGTGCACCATATTCGAAGAGAAGTTTTAGCATTTTGACGTCTTTTGTCCTTTGAAGACATCGATGAAGCACCGAATCGCCTTCTTCGTCGACTGCCAACACATTTGCCCCAGCCTGTAAAATGCCGCTGACGACAACAAGATCGGCCCCGAGACGGTTGCGATCTTTAAATAGAAAATGTATGGTCGTGTCTCCATAGGTATCTTTAGCTTCAATATCTGCCCCGGCATTGAGCAGCAGACGTAAGATTTGTTGACAAGCAATGTTGTTTGTTCTCCCCCAGCCCATCACTACACCGTGAATAGGCAGGCTCAAAGGCTCCTGACTAACTCGTGCGCCACACGCGTTTCTATTCGTGATCTTCCATTCCGAAGTCTGATGCACATCGGCTCCTTTGGCTAGAAGGAGCTCCACAATCCCGACACTCTGAGCCCGGCATGCAAGATACAGCGCCGTGGCGCCACTGTATTTTGAGTTGGGTGACACGTCAGTGGCCTTGAGAATAGCTCGTACCGCCTCAAACTTTCCATAACGGCAGCACTGGCAGAACAATTCCTCCAAGGTTTCAGGTGTGAGAAATGGCAGCATAGCGGCTATCGTATCCGTATGCCCCTGAAGCCATGCATATTCCACAGCGGTTTCTCCTTTGGTTGAGACATCTCCGCAATTCAAGTGTCGTTTGATGTTCTCCTTTGTCTTTGGAGTGAGTGGATGGACACCAGCCTCAAGCAACACAGTCACAATTGCGGCATGGTTCCTCCTCGCTGCCTCGTGGATTGGTTTTACACCTCGAATATCTTCTGGATCAGCGCTTGCACCATTCTTGAGCAGAAGTGATGCCATTGAGGTATGGCCTCGTGCGCAGGCCCAGTGTAAAGGCGTGCGATCTTCGGCATCGCGAGCATCAACCGGCACCTTTTCTTCGAGCAGCTTTTTGGCATACATCGTTAGACCAGCGAACGCGGCTACATGCAGCGGAGTCGGAGCTTCAATTTTTGAAGACTCCACTCCTTTCATCCATTCGAGCTTCAGCCATTTCTTGAAATCCAAGCTGTCAGGATCCAGGAAGTTTGCCATCGATGTGTAAAATTTGTCGTCTTCGAAGTCGTATTTGCTAGCGTGGAAAGCCCAGTTACCAACTGCGTATTCTAGAAAGGGATATCGTAGCTTTGACTCTTGGTAATTATACCCATCAGTCTCCTGACCTTCGTCACCAAAGGGGTCGCGATACTTGGGAGAGTCTACCGCTGTACTGGATTGTGAGACTCCATCATCGGCATGTACTCTGAGACCACCAGCTCCAAGGTAGTCTATGCAGATGACTGACAGCTTTTTGTGGGCTTGGTCTGGGTTGAGTACGGGAAATCGTGGAGTGTTGTTGTGAAATCTATTTTTGATTCGATCGTGGTTCAACAGGAATTCTGTGAATGAGTGGTGGATGACCGAAACAGTTTCATCTTCCAGGATTTCGAGAAGCGGTGCACATGCGGATCTGGCGATGGCCTTTGGGGCGTCTGGCATCATTGAAGCTGGAAAAGCAGAAGCAAGTACACTTGCCATCTCATTCAGTCGCAGGGCCCGGGATGAGTGCGTGGCTAGTTCGAGAAGGAAGACCTGGATCTGAATGTCGATTCTGAGAGAGGCAGCCTGCTGAAAGAGCATGCTGTTATACATCTCCTCCAAATCGACGGGGAGGCTCTCTACCAATTTCTCGACATCTAGTTGCTTTGATCCCAGATTAGGAATGATCTGATCAAGCAGAAGTCGTGCATAAAGGAAAAGACCGTTAGATCGTTCCGAAATAGCAGAAACGAGAGACTTTCGCAATTCTTGTTTGTCATCCCCTGGAAGCAGTCCGTTGATGCGATATGACAAGAATAGGGCAATATCCTGCCCCACCAGATCATCTTCAAGGCTGATATGAACAATCGAGGTGTCTCTCAAGCTGCTTTGCAGGTACTGCTTTGGTCTGCTCGTCATCAAAAGCTTCACAGCCTTTGGCCGAAAGGTGGCTAGGTTATTGAGTCGAACGAGAAAGCTATCTTTGGGAAGTAACTCCATCTCATCCAGTGCATCGAGGATACAGTAGGCCTTGTCAACGGAAGATAGTCCTGTCAATAGATACTCCCACAATATCTCATCGGAAAAGTCGTCCAGCGGGTTACCAATCAGTGGTTGCAGGGTTGCTTGGAGACGAATACTGAAGGGAAGTAGTTGTGCCAGGAAATCTCGAACCAAACTTCGGGGACGTCTGTTGGCTGATAGGATATAGCGAAAGAAGAAATACAACACCGGAACACCTTCGGTCTTCTGCAGATGCTGGATCATCGAGGCTGCAGTCACTGACTTCCCAGCACCAGGAACTCCTTTGATCCACAAGCTTCCATGCTCACTCGACTCCTGCCACTGTTGGTACTTTGAGGTCTCGCAGATCCAAAGACCAGTCCCAGGAGCTTGAGAGGATAGGTGGCGATGGAATTCGCTCGACTGGGCTTCGTAGTCCGTAGATTGAAGCCATTCTTGGACTTTCGCAAGCTCTTCTGGCGAGAGGCTGGCTTCGAGCTCGTTGATTATTTCAAACTCGTCGGACTCAGAGGAAGGCATGGCTTGATGCTGAGAACCGTGGATGTTGAATGGTCAGGAATATAGGAGAGCGTGAAGGTCGGCGTAGCTGGTGTAGTTGCTAAGCACACATTCGAAGTCTGCAAGAGGTTTGAGAGAGTGGGACACGAGATCGTGAGGTAGAAGAGAGGTATGCCAAAAATTTTCGGTATTGGCGGCACATGCTGCCGCCTAGATGAACAGGCATCCAGCGTGCAGGAATGAGGCGCGAGAATCCACCTGGGGTTCAGGCATCAGCATACGCATCACGTGATTTCGGTCCAAAAGAGGTTTTCATGTTAGAATGCTGCTTGTAAGGGAATGGCGAGAAGATAAACTCTTAAGTTGTTAGCTATCTTCGAAACTTACGATGTGTGGTTGCAGCTTGATGATCTTTGATGATCTAAAGTGCAGCTGTGGTTCGCAAGCCGAACCTACCTGGCCTGCAAGGCGCCTCACGTCAGGCCAATGTAGCCTCCTATCTTCCTCACTACAAGCAACTTCTACAGTCTTAGAACTCATCCCTCTTTAGGAGAAAGCCATGTCTTCTCCCATATCTTCCCTCTGCCCCGCCTTCCCACCAGATTTGGCAACAAGCCATACAACTCCGCATCTTGACGTTAAGGTGTGCCCTCTACCGTTTCGGTCTCTATGCCTGCTAGTAAAACATTACCATTGATCTTTCTCAACGCACACATTTCACGATGGAGACCCCCGAGAGACCAGCTCCACCTTATTATAACGCACTGCCATTCCCAAGACGACCTTATCACGCCTTCTCTACTCAACGTCTGCAAGGAGTCCCGAGAATCGATGGCAGTATACTGGTATAAAAAGTTCGCTGTTGAAAATCAAAAGGGGCAGAGAGACGTGTGGTGGAATCCAGCAATCGATATCATCTCGGTGCCCGAAGGCCTTCAATGGGAACCCTGGAAGCGATGTGTGGACGTCTGCACAAAGCAGTTTCCCCTGGAGACTGAAAGAGACCCATCATCATGCTTTGGATTGCTGCTGTTTGCAGTGGAGGAAAGGGTTTCGCTGCCGGGTCGAGCCTTGTGAGAGAATATTCCCATTCAAAAGGGTAGGGAGTTGATTAGGTATTTGGGGGATTTGTGGAATCGCCGACAGGGGGTTGTTAAGGATTTGAACAGACTTTTAACGAGGGCGAAGGAGGTTCTGTTGATAGACGCAGTGGTTGGATTACGGAGTATTTGGCACTCCAGGTATGGGGACCCCCCGAGAAGATATGAGACTCCACGCTCGATAACTTGGCTTTCACTATGAAAATGGAAAAGGCTACTCTAACTTTGGAGAAGGAAGAACTAATATATGATAGAGGGAACGAAAAAGATCTATTTTACGCTTTATATAAGACGAGTTGAACATCATTCTTAGAAAATTGCTTGAATGCCATAGAATATGGTACGCGATATATTCTAACAGCTGATGCGAAGTGAAACGAAACTCACCTTGCGCCGAGTTGCAAGCTTGACACTTCGCCTCAGGGATTCCAGTTGATATCAAATCATCGGTTGCATCTGAGTTCGAACTCTTCAAGCTCGCACGGGCAAGATTGACCGCAGTCTCAGAGGCTCACACGAAATTCTTCTTCCACAATCTTCTCAAACTATCATGGATTCATGTGAATATGTGCCCAGGGAGCAGACATTGATGTCTCCCAACCCTTTTCCCTAAACTTATCAGCTCCATGGAAAGATGGACCAGCCTCGAGTTCCGCAGCACAGGGTTTGGCGTCTTGTTCGTCAACATCAGTCCATGCGAACAGCTCAGGGAGCCCAAGAAATGCACAATCCACATCCGACAATTGGTAAGGTATCTCAGACTCGAGCCCGTAAGTCAGGATTAGCTGCACTGATTCCGCTGTCCCCTCATGCTCTTTAATTGGACGGACAAGGAGTTCATATGAAGGCGTTGCAGGCAGCTCATGGATGAATTCTGCACTCCCGACACTTTCCCGAGGATGGGAGGAGCTTTGTCGGCCAGGCATTTCTGGGAAAGAACCTGCAAGTTCTTGTTCATGGAGAATCGACGATAGACATCCATACTCTTGGTTATGCCTGCTCGGATCTTGCGTATGGACACCATGCTCCAACGCCAAAGTGCTGCCTACCTTTCCCATCATAGAGCTCTTCTGAGAACCCGGGCCCTGCTCAAGTTCAGCACTCGCTGAGCTCCCTTGCAACTGCATTTGCACTCCACGTTGCTCCACCAACTCCACTCTTAGAACCCCAACCTCCTTACCTTCCTCTATCCGATGGTCCCTATAACTCCCTCCTTTCCTATCCTCACTCACCTTCATCTTTTTCTCCTCCTGGAACTCCGCTCTCAGCTCTACAATCCTCTGCTCCAGCCCATCAACCCTTCTCTGGAGAACCTCACATACGGCGTTAGCTGGCACAAGAGCACGCTCCACTTCCACCTCCTTCGACAGATCCCCAGGCATCCGCTTTGAAAGCCTATTCCTCCTTACCTGCTCACCTCGAAAGCGGAAGATGCAAGACCTTTTTACTCTTTGCCTGTTCCACACATCAGGCATGCTCACACTGCGCACGACATCCAAGCCGCGTGGCCGCGCGGGAGGGGTGATTGGGACCGCGAGGCCGCCGAGGTCTAAGGCTTGGTGATTCTCACTTGGCGTCTTTTGCCCAAAAGAGGATGGAGATGGCGAGGGAGTGGGAGAGGGGATGCTGAGCACAGATGAGATGGATGAGAGGTTGGGTGGGAGGTGCTGACAGCTCTCTTGGGTTTCTTTGGATTCCATGTCCTCCATTTTATATGAGGGGGACTGACCTTCCTCGACTGGAGACATGCATATCTGTCGTGGATCGGATGCGGTAATAGCTTGCTGGGTGGGTTCGGCTACCTGCACCTGGGAAGGTGATTTGTTCATCCGAGCTGGTTCGGGTGCCGGCACACTACTTGCAGATGAACTCGCTATCTCATGAGGAATTGAGATTGTAGCATGGAGAGCATTCGATCCCTTGACACGGCGGAGTGCGGGTCTTGGGACGGCAGCGGCGTGGTTAGGTCCCGTCACTGGATATGATTGGTGGTGTTGGTGTTGCATTGTAGAACTCGTTCCAACTAACAACACCTATATAGGGATCCCTGGAGTTGATCGAAATTGTATTGGTAAATCTGGGCGCTGGAGCGGTAAAGCTATATGCTAGCCAGAGGAAGCCCAATTCAACTCCACGGGGTTGTGGTGTAGCATGTACAAGGCCATTGTTCAGGAAGACTTCTTTGATAAGCAGAACAACGATCTCGAGAATTCATCGCACAAAGGAGGTCTCTTTCACAAAGAAGTTCCCTTGGTGCGTAGGTCTTTGTCTGCAGTTTACTCGGCACAGAAGTTCCAGCACTTGCCTGTTTTAATTGTACTGCCGGTTTTATGGTACAGGTATGACGCATTAGACAATAAATTCACTGTCGCTCTCAAGAGTTATGTATAGTGCAACAACAAAAGCGACCAGTGAATAGTGTTTGAAGCACTTGAATTAAGGACGTAAAGTACAAGATACAGCGGTAAAGGCCCTTCTTGTCCTCAAGCGTGCGATAAGCGGGAAGAGCAGGGATGAAACAGGCGGCCAAAATAAACACACCTTTATTCTCGTCCCCACAAGGACGAGTATTGGCACCACCACCGATATTTCCACAGAAATCGTCACAGTCATCAACGGTACCACGATCGGCCAAGCGCAAACCGTCCTTGAACCCCCACTTCCACAGTTTTTGGCAACGGGGCGGTGTCGGTGGCTTCACCGACTGGAGCGAATAGTACATATGTGCTGTATATGCCTAGAAATGCTGGAGACAGGGTTGGGCTGTGCTTGAGATGGTTTATTGTCATTGAACTGGGACTTGTTGCTTTGAGTATATAATGAGACGCCAAAATAACGTTAGACTTTCATAGGGCTGGCAGACCACGCTCTGGGCACGCTGACTTACTCTGTGTTTATGTCCCTCCGCCGTATTCCCCACGATACATAGCCCCTCATCATCCACGCCTCTTTCTCCCTCACCCTTTTCCGCCATCTTCTTGTCCTTATCCTCTCTCTCCTTCTAGGGCGCACAAAGCCTCAAGACTCTCAATCCGCAACTCCATACAATAATGCTCCCCACTTTCACCCTCACCCTCTTCCGCCGTCCCCTGACCACCTTTCTTGTACTCCTTCTCCAACGCCCCCAGCTGCTTCTTCAACAACTTCATCGCCCGTCCCGTCACCCCCTCCCTCCCATCAAACACAAGCCCGAACCTCACGTCGCCCCCCACCCTCATCCTGATTCCCGTCGCAATCGTGACAATAAGCGTCATCACATCTCTCGTGGGGACCGCAAGGCCGCCTTCGCGCGGGACCGCCGTGACCCAATAGAGTTTTTGGAGTCCGCCTTGAACCCCGGAGGTGGAGGTGGTTTCGGGGGAAGATGTAGGGGTTGAGCTTGGAAGAGGGAGGGCTTGCACTCCTTGTACTCTTTGAACTCTTGGGACTCTGGGGACTCCTCGAAACCCGTCGCCCGAGGTGGTTGATGCAGAAGATGCAGAGGTTGCGGTTAGAAGAGGGAGACGGAGATCAAATACAAGATCCCGCATCGGCGGGGCTTTGATGACGGCCTGTCGCCATGCTAGGCTGAGTGGCTGGATGTCGAGGTATTGGAGGTTTGGGGTGGAAGTTGAGCGGGAAGTGGGGAGGCATGCGGCGAGTGTGGCGGCGTTGGCGAGGGGTTGGAGCAGAACGAGTGTCGTTGGTGGTGGTTCAGGTGCTGAGAGGTTGAGGGTCGCAAGTTTGGCTGTGATGTCGGTTAGGAGACGAGGCTCGGTGATGCGGAGTGACTCGACCATTTTGAGAGAGAGAGAGAGAGAGAGAGAGAGAGAGAGAGAGTGAGTGAGTGAGTGAGTGAGGAGAGGCCGAGCCTGGAGAGGGTATTTTCGGGGTAGGCGGCAGACAGGTTGATAATATAAAAGATGGAGTTGCCATATGCGATGAGTCTTTTGGAGCCTCGAAGGGGTAACGTCATATGACTTCCAGGGATTTGGCTGGTGCCTGGAGTAGCTGGCACCCTCATTGGAAGTGATCTTTAGAGTTCGGATGAAATAAGCAATAGGCATGATTCTCGGTGCTGGATGCCATGACTTTAACTCTGGTCTGTTTAAACTTTCGGGCCGCCCTCCATCATAGCTCCCGCAGGGCATAGAAATGGTCCCAGATTGGGAAGAAAGGGCCGAGAGCAAAGATTTGTTGCAGTTCGCAAAAAGAAGGCAAGAAAAGATAGCCAGGGGCATGAGGAAATGGCCCCCAATCATGGCTTCTGGAACGTGTCGGGTGGAGTACACGTGATATAAGCTTGTCTGAGGCACAGCCAGAGTGTGACGCCCGTTTCGGCAATTGCTGCTCTTGTCCCATGTTCTCGAAGGGAAGAATGAGCTCGCTCAAGTGTGGGATGCAGATAGAGGATTGCGAAGTCGGGGTGTGCTTAGAGTTGTGTAGCCATTCGGGAAGCCGCCCGGCAGATCGCCATGCAGCGTGACCCTTCACCCTTCACTTCAACAAATCTATTCTTATTTGACTCGAAGAGAAGTGCTCCTGCAAGCGTAAATCCATCCGGAATCCTGGATCAAGCACCTTGCTTTCCTCGAACTTTCGCCCGCGAACATCGTTGCATACAACACTTGAAGCCAGCTTCAGATGTCCGCGAGGAGGTTCAGAACAGATAACACGGAGAGGAATACGGGAAGAAAGACTCCTACGGAGTACACCCTGAGAAGTGCCCCACGTGCAGTTGACATTGAGTGCTGACCGGGAAAAGGAAGAGACGGAGCTGGTGAGAACAGAGGGGAATTTGTTGTCAACCTGTCGCGGGTGAGAACCAAGCCTCGAGGCTTATGAGGCGTGACTGCGCTAGCTAGCAGCAGTCAAACCATTTCTCTGGACCACATCTTTCTTCCTCCCAACTCTTCCTTCCGGCTCTCAACCTCTTCTTGGCTGTTGTTTCGTCTGATGCTCGCCGATGCGACCGGGTGATGGAAGAGATCGATTGATTTTCGAAGTCTTCAGGTACCTCCCGGCTTACCTCCCCGAGAGGGATCGGGCCACCTTTATGTTCCTGTACGAGGCCCCGGCTGGTCGTGGCCGTCCTGGCCCTAACGGGGACGCCGTCGTACAGAACGAGCACAGATGAAGACGCCACCAGCCCACCAGCCCACCAGCCCACCAGCCCACTCGCCCACCCACTCACCCAACCGGACACGCACAGCGACATGATTCATGAAGCAACTTACTAGTACAACGTACGTCCGTACTGTAGCTGCATATCACCACGGCGACCACGCCATGCCAACCAGTGCAACCACTCACTCAGACTCAGTGGCCCGCTCCCAGCGCCTTTCCGCCTTTCCGCCTTTCCGCCGTCTTCCGGACGAGCTGACCGCTGCAGGGCAGGTCCCGCACGGCTCGGCTTTGACTGCGTACAAAAGCAAGTCCGTCAGTGGCCCTGACTGGTGCGCAATACAGTGATGGCTGGTGGTTATCACATGGCAGGACATGCCCACTGCGTACGGTGGTACTGTAGCAGATACGCAGGCTGAAGAGAAAGAAGATAAACACCAGTGGCCGGAGGTTCAGAATCCTTCAATACCACGGCCCAGTGGTCGTCCCCCTCTCCCCCAACCACACACTCTCCACCGAGGCACTCTCTTTTTCTTCAGCGCGGCTGAAATAACCCCCCCCCGTTTCGACTTGCTCACCGGGATCCCAGCCAAGTGTCCACTGGGACGATGTCATCCCGGGCTGGATCCCAAGTCCTGCATTCCCCACCATCCCGCGCCGTGAGTGGTCAATTCACGAGCTGCCCCCCCGATGCTGGCGTCCATCACCACCTCTTTCGAGGGCCAGAGACATGGGCTTCAGTGAGTCGCATTGGCCAGATCCAGCTGTCAGCTCCGAATTCATCAGCCCTGGGGCCTTGACTTTTAAATGGGTTCACCCCGATGGTTGGCTCATTTGAATGTCATCTTCGTCAGCATTGCTTCCTTTCAGGTTCTGTTCCAGGTCAATCTTTTCTTCGCGCGATCTAGTCCCCTGCTATCTGCGAAGTTCTGTTCAGCCGCGATAAATATACTGTCTCTGGCTTGGCGCCGTTGATCCCGCCCCTACAGCTGCATTTTTGGTCGGGCACCACCTCGGCCCTCCTCGTGGTTGACGAGGCTGTGAACTTCTCCAAGCGTCAGCGCTTTCTTCCTGAAATAAATCACTCACTTCCTCCATGTAAGGCTCCTTCGACTGACACTCAAACGACAAAGTATCACTACCCCACCATCAAAGTCGCACCTGCGACACGTTCGAAGACCGCACCTCGACTGTCTCGATAACGTCATCCCTCACATCTTATTTGGTGTCGCACTGAATTTCCGGGCACGGAGAGGCGACGTTTTTGCCTGAAGTCTACCTGAGGTGGGCACGGAGGTGAGAGACGATGACAGATGCTCATGAAACCGAGGTAGCCACCGCCGATGAAGGCGAAGGCATTGCGAGTGAATCCGAGCAGGAATACCCAAGCCGAAATACTACACCACCGAGTCTGGAAGAATTCGAGAGATGGCAAGCGCAGATAGGCTTGCAAAAGTTCGGCGAAGGCCTGAATGCTGCGGCAAAGGCGATATTCCCGAGTGATGGTCGACTACAATACTCGAAGGTTTATGTGCTGATGCTGAGCTGGGGCGTGGAAGGTTCAGCGGTGTCTGGAATCTCGAGATTGTCTAGTGTCTTCAAGGACGTTTATCATTTTGATGTCGAATCTTGGATGATCCCTTCAGAAGGCAGCCAGGCTACGACGACTCAGAAGATATTGGATTTCGTCAGATTAGGTGGTGATAGTGACGATGATCTGAAGATTGTATTTTATGCTGGACAGACTCAACTTATCAAGAACAAGAACTTGGCTTTGACGAGGTTCGTTGATCCTTTTGCATCTACCTTCTCTCAATTTTTGTGCCGGAGCTAATGTATAGCAGTGGTCGCAAGACCGAGAAATCCGGATACCCCGTCCATTGGAGTGGCATTCAAAAGTCTTTGGAGGCTGCACGAAGTGACGTTCTCATCCTCTTGGACTGTCCTTACGTAGGGACGGCAAACAACAACCAAGGTAATGGGGTAACAGAGCTCATTGCGGCATCTGCCTATAGATCTGTGGTGAGCCACCTCGAAGCATATTCCTTCACCCGTGAGCTGGAGACCGAGTTCCGAGAGTTGAGCAAATTGCCGTATTTCTCGGTTGGAAACCTTTTCCACAACATCTACTGCCGCGTTCAAAGTCGAATGGCCGAAACAGGACAAGAAGAGGCTGTACCTGCTTGTTTGCAATTGACACAGGAGGATCCGTACCTACCTCGGAGTATCCAACTGTCAGCTCATCAGGCGGATACCCCTTCTACATTACACCCGAACCCCGCAAATGCCAACGGAGCGTTCCATACCTCGTCTACTCGAGGAGATACACCGCGTATTGCATTTGCAATTCGTCTAAAAGAGGATTTCAAGGTTGGAGATCTCTCTTCAGACCTCTTTCTGAGATGGCTCAGCTGTATTCCAGAATCGGTGGCAGAAGTCAAGATTGAAGCCGGATTCCACAGCTATTCATCCCTCCTAATCGTGTCAGTTCCAATCTGCATGTCACTCTACATGCCAAAGGATCCTGCAATCATTTGTCTTGGGCCGATCACTTCATTCAATGAAGTTCTGAACCTCGTGCCAAATTCCATACCGAAGGATCTCCCAAGTCCGGCACCTGACCACCATCTCTGGGATCATCCAAACCAGATTACAGATGGCGTACGTGCCGTCACACCTCAACCACACAACCTTACCAATGGCACCAGTGGAACTTCCACGGCTTCAGAAGTTCGCTTCAGGAATCAAGCTCAGGTTATCAACCTCAATGGCACCAAGGAATCAAGACTACCGCTAAACAAGGGCAACTCTTCCCACTTCCGAGTCGATGGCAGTATCGATGAATATACATTTACGACTGGACTCCGGCACGCCCGTACCGTGCCTGTGGACCAGTCCCATGAAATACCAGCTTTCGGTCCCCACACCACTGAAGCCGACGGCCCACAATCGAAAGCTCACGCTAAGATCAGATCTTACACTGATGATCCAAGCACTAAAGAATTCCCTCGAATCTCGAAACCTGTTGAATTGCTCAGGAACGAGTACGACTGTGTCGTGATCGGGTCTGGATATGGTGGTAGTGTTGCAGCCAGCCGCATGGCTAGAGCTGGCCAATCTGTTTGTCTACTTGAGAGAGGCAAAGAGAGGTGGCCTGGAGAATACCCAAGTGGGTTCGTGGACGCTGTGAAGCAGCTCCACGTCTCAGGCGACTTTGCTCCTGGATTCCTCACAGGCGCAATGGTGGAAGCTGGTGACCCAACTGGTCTCTATCATCTCATCTGTGGCAGGGGACAGAATGCATTCGTCGGCAACGGACTCGGTGGAACCAGCTTGCTGAACGCGAATGTCTTCCTCGAAGCAGATGATGGGACGATGAGGCTGCCGTGTTGGCCGAAAGAGATCCGCGAAAACGGAGTGAAAGAGCTGGAGGATTATTACAAGCGCGCATCTAATGTCCTCGAGCCTGAAGAGTATCCCAAGGACTGGCCGGAACTACCAAAGTTGGCCATGCTCGAGAGGCAAGCTGCAGCTCTTGGGTGGAAAGAGAAATTCAAGCGTGTGCCTCAGACGACTCGATTCAAGGGTGGGCCAAACAGTACTGGAGTTGAGATGTATCCGTCTGCTCTGACTGGCATGGACAGCACGGGAGTCAACGATGGAAGCAAGTCTAGCACACTTGTCAACTATCTTGCTGATGCTTGGAACTGGGGAGCAGAAATGTTCTGCCAGTGCGAAGTGAGATATATCAAGAAGCATCCCGATCCGAAGGTCGAAGGCTACCTGGTCTTCTTCGCGTGGCATGGGAGCGAGCGCAGTGCTTTCAGAGACAACCTCTACGAAGACCTGATGTGGGTTCATGCAAGGGAATGCGTCTTCCTTGGAGCTGGAAGTATCGGCACGACTGAGATCCTGCTGCGAAGCAAGAAACTTGGTCTTACAATGAGCGACAAAGTTGGTCTTCACATGAGTGGAAACGGCGATATCTTGGCTTTTGGGTACAACACTGACACCGAAGTCAATGCCATTGGACGCCAATACCCTTCTCCATACAAGCCGGTTGGGCCAACGATCACGGGCGTGATAGATTGTCGCGATCAAGATAATCCTCTTGATGGGTTCGTCATTGAGGAAGGTGCCGTTCCTAAAGCACTCGCCCCGTTGTTCCAAACAATGTTGGAAATGATGCCGGGCAATCAGGTTCCACAGGGTGAGGGCTTGGTTGAAAAGGTCAAGCATGTGTTAGCTCAGCAAGGTAGCCGTTTTCTTGGACCGTATTTCTCCAAAGGCAGTATTGAGAGGACTCAGACCTATCTCATCATGAGCCATGACTCCAATCAAGCAAGCTTAACTCTCAAGGATGACAAGATTGTTCTGGAGTTCCTTGGCGTTGGACGGAGTGGGCACGTCGAGTATCTCAATGATGTGTTGAAGCGCGCCACTCAAGCCGTTGGTGGTACTTTTGTCAACAGTCCTTTCTATGCAGCATTGGGCCAGCAAGAAATTACTGTTCATCCAATTGGAGGTGCCTGCATGAGTAGAGACGGAACGGGAGAGCACGGTGTCACGAATCATTATGGAGAAGTCTTCACTGGTCGCGGTGAAGAAACACACCATGGCCTGATTGTCACGGACGGAGCGGTCATCCCAACAGCCCTTGGAGTCAATCCCTTCGCAACCATCACGGCGCTTGCTGAACGGTCCGTTGAGTATGCTGCCAAATACAGAATCCTTGAAGAGATCGATCTGAAGACGAAGAACGAGGTCTTGGATCTCTTCGCTGAACCATACCAAATCGTTGGCGGCAAGAAAGCAATACAACGAAGGAACTCCAACAAGGTCAACGACGCTACAGACTTGGTCAAAGCCACGAGGGCTGCCAAAGCCAATGGTTTCGGATTCTCGGAAGTCATGTCGGGATACATTCACGTTGGAAAAGGTCTCGAAGGCGACAAAATCGAAGATTACCAAACCGCAGCGAGGACAGCTCGCGGTCTGTGCGAAGAAGCTCGATTCTTCTTGAGCGTCAAAGCATGGGATACACATACGATAGTCAATCGCGCCGACCACCGAGCCATGCTAACAGGAACCTTCACCTGCGCCGGCCTCAAAGGGAGTCCATTCATGGTGCAGCGCGGCGACTTCCACCTCTTCAGCATCGACCAACAAGCACCAGGGACCCGCAACCTAACCTATGACTTCGATATGACATCTACCGAAGGGATCGACTACCACTTCCACGGATACAAAGTCGTCAATTCCTCTGTCGCCCTCGGCCCCATCCGTTTCTGGACCGCAGCCTCAACCCTCTACGTCACAATCTCAGAAACGCGAACGGGCAAGGTCCTCGGAAGAGGCATGCTGCACATCCGTCCCTCTGACTTTTTGTCTGAGATCTTGACTCTCAATCCGTCTGGCAAGAATCTATGGGCAAAAGTGAGCTCCACAATGTCCTTCATGAGTTTCTTTGCCCGGCATTCCGCCGCCCTGTTCCTCGCCCCCTTCACCTGGCAGCAATACCCCTCCGTCACCTACTCGGGCTACATAAATGACACCTCCCCGGACCAAACAATCAAGATCGTCGCCATCGACGGCGTGCAGACCCTTCTCCATGTCTGGGAGCCCCGTGCTCCGGGCATTGAAACGAAGAATTTATTTATGATTCCTGGTGCAAGTGTGGACCAGCAGATCTTTGCGCTGCCGACGATCGAGGTTAACGCTATCAATTACTTTACCAGGGCCGGGTATAGGGTTTTCGTTACCGTGCATCGGATCTGCCAGCTCATGGTTGCTGAAAACAACTGGACGACGTACGATGCTCGTCTCGACATAAAAGCATGCTATGAATGGATCCGCCAAGAGCATGGTCCGGACCCCGTCTACACGATCGCTCACTGCATGGGCTCGGTCGCCTATTCTTGCGGTCTTCTCGATGGAACCATTCCAGCGGAGTGGGTGAAAGGAATCTCCTGCTCGCAAGTCTTCTGCCATCCCATCTGGTCAACATTAAACATGGCCAAAGTCCTCGCAGGCCCCATCCCATTCGACAAACTCTACGCCATGTTCGGCGGCTCGTGGTTCTCCTGCTCCTCAACACGAGATGATTCGTACTTCCAACAACTGGTCAATCAGATCCTGCGCTTTTATCCTGACTCTAGGGAAGAAATCTGCAACAACGTATCCTGTCATCGCTGCTCTCTGGTTTTCGGGCGGTAAGTTCTAACCCCCCTCCCCCTCCACGAGGGGATGGCGGTGCTAACGGGAACAGACTCTGGAACCACAGAAACCTAAACCAGGCAACCCACAGACAGATAAACCGCTTCTTCGGCGGCGTCAACATGACGCTCCTGCACACGCTGATGCAGCAAGGCTACCGCGGCACCGTAACTTGCAACGGCCCCCTATTCACGCCCCTCACCGGCCCCTCCAACCTCCGCCGCCTAAAGGGCATCCCCATCTTCCTCTTCTCGGGCTCCGACAACAAGGTCCTCACCCCCGAAGCGACGGAGAAGACGTACGGGATCCTCAGGGATGCGTTCGGGACCGAGGGCTATAGCAGGGAGGTCGTGCGCGGCTACGGACATCTGGATTGCTGGATGGGGAGGGAGAGTTATAAAGACGTGTTCCCGATGGTGAGGAGTGAGGTGGATCGCGTGTGTAGGGGCGAGGGGTGGAGGTGGAAGGAGCCGGATTGGAAGAATGATTGGAGGGATTGGAAGAACTTGGAGATGTCTGGGGGAAAGAAGGAGGGGAAGAAGACCGTTTGAGGTGGTGGATTCTGAGCTGGGGCATGCTTTTCGCTGCATATACGACTTTTCCGGCGGTTGATTGATTTGATGGGATGCGTTTCATGGGAGGTATGCATGGGATATACCAAGGAAGGAAGCATGGATATATGGGGAGCATGGGATGCGGCTATTTTTATCTACGGATATAAATGGTGGGGGCGTCGCGGTACTTTGCTTTGGTTTACTTTGCTCAAATTCTTAACTCCTGGCTCCTGCGGGAAAGGAGCCTCCTACATTCATTGTAATTTTTTCCGGCACATGTTTCGAGATCACCGATCTATCTATTCTTAACAATGTAGTTCAAATCAATCGAGTTTTCTGTTTCATTCAACTCAATCTATCTATCTATATTCGAGTCTAGGGGCGCACATTTCTAAGCACCCTTGCCATACCTCAACCCCTTCCAATCATTCCTCCTCTCCCAACTTCCTGCCACCTTAAGACATGTCAAATCCTCCCACTTCCTCCCCACAATCTGGAGCCCAGTCGGCAACCACACGTTCCCATCATCCCTCGCCGGCACGAACCCCACCGGGAGACTCAGCCCAGGGTGTCCCGTACTATTAAACGTAGCGGTATTATACGTCGCGCCAATCGTCCTGCTTAGCATCTTCAGCGGTCCCAGACCTTTGCCACCACCCTCTTCAATCTTGACAGGCGGGAATACGATCGTCGGCATTACCAGGGCATCGACCTCTTTGAACGCAGCCTCGTATTCATCGTTCAGCTTGCGAAGGAGATTGGTACAGCGCGCGTGTAACGGGCTGCCGAACTTCTCCTGCAAGAATAGACCACGCAAGTAAATGTTCTGCCCGCCGGGCCCAAGGGCATCGAACGCTTCTTGCGATAGCTGCGAGCCAACGAGCTCACAGCGGTCAGGGTACAGGAGTTGTTTTCTTCCCGCTGGATTGGAGAGCAGACCTTGGGTTGTGCCCGCCATGGGCAGGGCGACCATCCAGATCATGCCGCTGTCTCTGTGCAGCGGGATCGAGATCTCCTTCACCTCCGCACCGAGTTCGGCCAGCTTGGCGATTGCGGCTCGTGAGGCGGCTGCGACATTGGGGTCGGTCATCGGGTCTTCGAAACCTTCCTTTAGGATCCCAACTTTCGTCCCTTTCAAGGGCAGGTCTCCTCCGCCTTCAACATGTTTCCGCACTTCTTGTCCGAACTTGATTTTCCCATGTGGCCAATTCAAAGGCTGACGATCGTCGATCCCGTCACTACCAGCTATTACCTCGAGCAGTGTAGCGCAGTCTTGAACAGCTCTTGCCATGGGGCCTGCATGGTCGATTGTAGCTTCGAGGGATATGCAGCCGGTATAGGGGACGAGTCCCCATGTTGGTTTCAAGCCAACAACACCACAGTTCGCGGACGGGAGTCGGATCGAGCCGCCTTGGTCTGCGCCGATTGCGAGGTCTACAGCACCAGAGGCAAGGAGGCGGGCCGAGCCAGAGGAGGAGCCACCTGTTGAGTAGGCGTGTGCGTAGGAGTTGTGAACGGGGCCTGTCACTGAGGTGTCGCTGAGGAGAACAGACGTTTAGCAAACGCTCCGGCAAACTGAGAGACGGTATTTGGGTGGGTATCATACCTCACAGCACCAAAGCAGTTATTCTCACAAGCAGCCTTTCCCTTGATAATCCCACCAGCATCTAACAACCTCGTGACAAGTGTAGCATCCACCTTCGGCACCCATTCTCCAACCTTGCCTCCCGTCCCATTCGTACACTTCACGCCCGCGACGGCAATATTGTCCTTGATCGCAATTGTTCGTCCAGCCAGCTCATCACTCTTCGGGTTCGTGCTCCGCACATCGCACTTCCATGCCCATCCGCCGTGATCTGTATCTGTAGGTCCGACAGGTCGGTGGATGTTTGTTCGTGGATAGACGGAGAGGTCGACTGTTGGCCCGTAGTCTTCCAGAGTGAGGATTTCTTTCGCGCAGTGGTTGAGGCCGGAGAGTAGGGCGGACCAGTCTTTGAGTTCGGAGGGCGGGATTGTGATCCCGGATTTCGTTGCGAGAGTGGCTACATCTTGGGTAGTGACTATGGAGTCTTGTCTGTGGAGGCGTTAGTCTCCAGGTTGGGGCTTGAGGCGGAAGCAGAACGTACTGAGCTGCGCCCAAAACGCTGACAGACATGTTGGCAAATGTCTATGTGATCGATATTGGTTAGAAGAAGCCACGGGAAGAGCGAGGCCTGCTATATAAACATTTTCAACGGTGAAGTGTCACTGTTATCAACAGTGGGGCATTTTCCAGCTTGCCCACCGCGGCGCATCGATTGAACGCCGAAATGATGTCTTCATGACTCGATTGAATGTGCCGAGCCCCCAATTGTACGCCGATATCATTTTGGCGCCGGAGGATGTTACTCGTCCTTGTGAGGCTGTCGATTGTGACGGTTGGAGAGGATGGAGCTCGCCCGTCGCGATAAAGTATTTGGAGGCGAAGCTTCGGCGCTCCGACTGCCAAGGCGTCAGACGCCAAGAACTTCAACATCCACTCCCCTTTCTTTTGTTTTTGAAGAGTTTTATTGATTTTATAGTCTCAGAATTTCCTCATCCTTTTATTCTTCTCTGCTTGTTGCGCCAATCTCTCAGCAAGGCCCTGCTTAATCCGCGCATTCTTCTCCAAGACTCTCAAAGTCTCTCTCGCCTTCTCGGTCTTGTCTGCCTTCGATCCCAGAGCGACGGTATATCCCTTCACGGCTTTATCGATATAGAATCTTGCCTTGTTCCATTCTTTCAGATCAAAGAGACAGTTACCAAGGAGTTGAGTGGCGTCAAATATATCTTCGTCTGCAGCTCCCAGGCATTCCTTGTATGTCGAAATTGCCTTCTTCGAAGCTTCCACACCCTCGAGAAACTTCTCTTGTCTCCGTAAGCATACGGCTAGGTAGTAATAACACTGGCCTTTTTGTCTATGCTTTCCATATCCGCCCTCGTACATCTCGATTTGCTTCCGTTTATAACCTTCCGCCTCAGCATACTCGCGCTTGTACGAGTGTGCGGCATAGAGGATCTCAAGCGCCATCTCCTTCGTCTTCAGATCTCCAGGGTGATTCGTCTCAATCGACCATAGATGTTCCACCACTTCCAAAGCCTGATCGATACGCTTCCGCTTCATCGCGATCGCACACTCAAGAATGTTCTGCTTTGCCACCAATGGATACGTGTTGTCGAAATCCTTGAGAATGGTCAAATTCTCCCTGGAAACATCTCTAGCTCGATCATACTCCTTCATATTGTAGAGAAGCTGTGAATGCCGGTATCTGGCATGGCAAGTATGTATTGACTCGCGCCCCAGCCGTTTCGCTCGCCGCCTGACCAGTTCTGCATTCCAATCATCCGCTTCCGACATAAATTCCAAGAGTTCTGAGATCTCAGCAAGCTGGAGAACGGTGTTCATGGAATGGATGCTGAATTTTCCTGTCGTTCGATTGCGCTCGGGAAGATCGAGCAGTAACTGCGTGTAACTTTGCTGTAATGCAACCCTCATCCATCCAGCCTTCCTCTCTTTGAACTGTTCGAGTCGCTTCTTAGCCTCCTCGTAATGCTCCTCCAGATTCTTTGCCCTCGCTCGGAGTTCCAAATTCGCTTCTTTCCATTGCGGATGTGGTCGACACCACCAAAATAAATGCTTGCATCCAGACGCCAACACGTCGTTACCGGCTGGTACTCCTTCACGCACAATCAAATGGTCCGTGTACGTCCTCTTTATCCCTCGAGCATGCATGACCACGCAATGTTGCGTCCCATTCCCGCGATCAAAACAGATGCCGAAATCCCAAGGCTCGTCTGCGGGTACACTGGTGTTGAGATATTTCTGGACAGCTGCTTTTGATCTAAAGACCTTCCATGACATATCCAAGGTCTCCAGAATCTTGAGGACATGATCCTCGTTGGTGCTTATGGGACGCAGGATCGAGCCATCGGGCCGAGGGCTTGGAGGAAGAGACGTGATGCCATTGGTGTTTTCTCTTACTGATATTTGACCTTGGTGGAATCTCTTGGCCATTTTGAGAACATCGCATCCAAAATCTGGACCGAGGAGGAAAGCTGTGGTGGCGTGAAAACTGCTGTCGTGAACCAGGTCGAGGGCCAAAATTGGTAGCTCCATGTCTGCCCGTCCACTCATCATCCGAGGGCTGAGGATGCCGGGACTGGGACTTAGAATCGGCGGGGTAGCAGGAGAGGAGGCCTCGACGAGAGTGTTTGATGAGGACATCCTACCGTGCATCGACTCTGATCGTGGAGATGCGCCAGACGGTGATGGAGAAGGACTCCTCGAAAGGCGCGGCAGCGTGAAAACCGGCATTGTCTTCGCGATTCTCGCAAGGCGCTTCATGGTGAGAGAGTCTAGACATGATCAGCTAAATTCTCTCTACTGTATCACATGCACCTGATTCCATTACGATCTACCGACCTTTCGAATTCTCATCCGCACCAAAGTGCCTTCCTCGGCCAGAAGCCTCGCCGATCCCAATTTCTCGTTCTCTCCCCGCGTTCCAGTCCCTCCACTCCTCACTCAAAAGACGGTTAACTTCACTGCTCTCCCCCTCGTCCATCATCGCGTCCTCTACATCCTCTTCCTGCCAACTGCAGTACCGATCAATGATCCACGCCGGATCGAGCTCGTCGTCCTCCCGTGGCACAGCGAGGAGGTTGGGGTACGCTGCTTCGGGCCCCATACCACCGCTATGCTCACTCCCTCCATCACCACTCCAATCCTCCAGCCCGCTCTCGTCGTCAAGATCCATTGAGAAATGTGAGCGCTCAATCACGCTGACATCGGGAGGTTCCGTCTTTGGTTGGAGTCCGGCAGCCACAACGGTCGCGAGTCGCTGGCGCAGATACTCGACTACCCGTTCGTCCCTACTTCCTTCGCTTTCCCTCTGACTCTCACTTGCCTGAGCATCATGGTGAGAAGAGGGCGTGTCCGAGGGAGGCACGATCTCTTCTTTATTGCCGTCACGCATTCTGGCACATCACATCACAGCTAGACAAATCAGTCCGCCGGTCTCATTCCAATCTTGATCCGATCATATGTGGCTTTGCTTCAAGCGCCACAACGGAACCGTGTTTTCGATGTGCTCTTGGGCTGTCGCTGGGCGGAAATCATTGGGTTGATATCGCGGGCCACGACTGCGGAGACGGTGTGCGGAATGAGTTGGGTACGCCCAAGAATGGAATTAAGGGGGATGGTGGGAGGTCGGGTAAGGTGAGCATGTCGCCGGTGCGGCGTGGGGCAACCATGTCGGTTGAGATTTATGAGAGATTGCGATAACAACGTGTGCCACTGGCCATGCCCCTTCAAGCCCTGGCCCTGTCTTTCAGGAAGTCGCGGGAGATGCAGGGGTGATCTGGTTTGCGGCCGATCTCTGTCTCCCGAGCATGTTCCCTATTTCTTCTGACATTCGGATCATTCGATATATTGCATTTGTCGCTGAATCGCTCAAGTGAGCCAGGTTGGCGATGGTCTCATTCTCAAGCCAAGCGACAGCAAATTTAGGAAAGCCACGGAGACTGCCCGGCGATGGGAATGCGGAGATGAAATTCATTCCGTGTCGATTCAGTAACGTAAATTACCAGTGAGTAAGTAGCGGGTGCGCTGTTTCATCAAGCGAGGCCAAGTTAAAGCCCAGGCTATATTCGCTACAGTAGAATCCCCATCCTCGGTAAAATAGGGGCGAAATGAAGATCCCTCGCTCAATGTCCTTTAGTCCTCAGGTTCCCGATTAATATCTGCGCATTCCTCGGTTTCGAGTCAAAGTTTATCACTTGAACCTCTAGTTATCTCAGGACTTCGGTCGAACTACACGTGCCACAAGATCAATTTCCCAATTTCTCAATTTCCACACGCATATTCATCATTACAGTTCTCATGCGTCCAATTCAGGGTTATTTCCAGTATCTTTGCTTGACTTACGTACTCCCTACATTACCATTATTTCAAAAGCCGTCCTGTCTATCCTCTATCTCATCCCCTTAATTCCACATCAAACTCCATGATCATCATGAATTGCAGGGGCAGTTCGCACCCGGAGCCCAGTTGCTTTTATTAGTTGAGCGACGGCACCGTCTCGCTCTTACAGCAGTAAGATCACCCTATTGCAACTATTGCCTTTTCCGGTACCACACTTGCTTGTTTCACGAGTTGTTCCTCTTTGGTTTGAAACTGGAATTGATTCACCTGTTGTCATCTGAAGTCAGATTTGTCCAAGCTTCATGGGCAGAATAAATTGGAACTGGAGACAGACCCAGCGTCGCCATACCCTCGGTTGTTATATAAAGCAGCGTATCTTCATTGGTGAGATCTGGCCAACCCCAGCCGTTGTTCCCGTGAGCTGCGAATGCTGCTCCGGGGCTGTGGTTGTCAGCCAGTTCACCCTTGAGGCCATGCAGCGAGGAAGAATAGACATGCCTTCCGACCAATACCTTTTTGTAATCCTGCCGTAAGACTTCTTGTTAAGGCTCTTGAGTTTAGATGGTAGTGTAATGGGAACGATTGTGCAAGTACTCTAGTGAATTGATATAGCTGTTATGGGGCAATATCATGTTCCATGAGCAACTAGTAAGAAACCTCGTCGTGTAAGCAGACGAAGGCGGAGAGGCTGGCTGAGTCGTTATTGGAATGGTCAAAAGGGTCGTAGCTGTTACAGCGAGTGCTGCTGTCGACTTGGTCGAGTCCATCTGCGGTCCTGGCCTTGTTCGCTTTTTGTTGTTCATGAAAGTCAAGTGGAACAACATGGTAAAATGGTAGTTCCAGCCATGGTCAGAATTCGAGTTTAGTGATTATGGTTGTGGGATATTCAACGCAATCAGCGCCTGGTAGGACAGATTCTCCAGATCCGCTGAGTTGCGCGTCATGGGTACGACCGCAGCTCCAGCTGAGAGAGATTGAGTAACGGCATTCGTATTGTGGCCATTGGTGGTGCCCGGAAATGCTGCAGTGCCACGGCATTGTTACCGCCGTTCATCGCATCGAGGGCATTCACTGCGAACGTGTCTAATATCCCCCCCCTCTTCAGCAGCTGTAACATCACCTCTCTATGATTAGAACAAGTTATGCATTAAAGGGGCCTCCTTGGCTCTTGCCTGAAAGAGGAGTCCTTGAAAACTGTCATGCTGTTCGAAACTATGGGGTCGATGCTGTCATGGGCTAGCTAAGACCGTGACAATTGCATGGACAAAGCAGTGTTTAGCATGTAATTAGGCTTCAAAATATGAGGGTGAAGTTGATGTAGATTGAGATGTCTAAAGTACAAGAAGTGCGGTTCGGCGGAGGGTTTATGTGCCTCTGCAGCTGAGCTAACCTAAAAGGAGAGAATCACGTTTATGGCAACTGCCAGATTGTTATCGGTTTTCGCTAGCCCTGAGATGCTTTTCGGCCCTGCCCTCCGTTAGTCTATTGCGGGTCTGAATCGCCAAGTGAAGGCTATTTACAGGAGTTTCGTGTTGGAGCCGCAACGAGAGCGAATGCAAGACCGAGACAATCCGCGGAAAGCTTGAGGTCATCTCTAGCCTGCGAAGCCAACGAAGCCGTCGACTGCAGCTGGGGGACAGAAGCCAACTCGTGCGAGAAAAAGAAGAAAATAGAACAATAGCGACCACTATCTACATCGAAGTGCCTGTGAAGCGCAATTAGCCCACGAGAGGAAGGAGAGAGCAGCAGTAGCCACAACGCAAAAGCGAGATAGTGGCTCATCGAAATGAAATAAATCGGAAAAAATCTTAAGATTTTGCAATACATATATTATATAAATAGTTTCTGCTCTATATAGATGTGAGTATATATATAATTAAATCTTAAACTATAAGATAGTAGTATTTACCTCGGGCGATTTTCGATTTTCGATTTTCAATCTTCGAGGTTTGTCATCTGGCTAGTTATGGGCCTCAGTAGCCCTAGGTATTCATTATTAAAGAAGAAGAAGAAGAAGAAGAGGAGGAGGAGGAGGAGGAGGTGGAGGAGGTGGAGGAAGGAAGAGATGGCTATGTATTCTTTTTATTTGTTAAACTAGCCCCAAAAGGTGGATGAATATTAGAGTAGAGAGTTATCTACTGTAACGGGTTGGACCCGTGGTTTGGACTCGGTCATGTGACTCGGTCATGTGACCTTCGTTGCTGTGGCTACGGGGGCGCGTGGCCCGTGTGTATTTAGCTTGCGCGAGAGCGAGTGTGACGGCGGGATCAATGCAATGGTCAAAGGCTCAAAGTTCAAAGAATCTCATGTATTGGAAAATACTAAGCTATGAAACAAAGTAGGGAGGATGCCTCGACCTTTAGTATTATTCCGCCCAAGTAATTCCGGCTTAGCTTCGTTTTGTGCCTATTTCCGATATCCTGTCTTTAGTAGATTATGCCCTTATACCAGCTATTATATTACCCCCTTCCTAAAGAGAAGTCTAAATACCCTTATTTAGGGAATTATTTAGCTATAATATAGAAAAGAAAAAGAGGAAATAATAGCTATTAATTCTATTTTATCTAATTCCTATAGCTTATTTATAATTAAAGTATAGTCTTAACTCTACTAAAATAACCTAGTTCCTAGTATATTCCGGCTAGTTCTTAGTATTTATTATTTATATTATACTTTTATCTATATTAATAATATAGTCTAGAAGTACTATATAGGCTATAGCTAATATTAAAACTATTATTATTAGGCAGTTTTTAAATAGAAATAGTAGATTAAATTTATTTATTAGGGCAGGCTTTAATATAATAGCTTGCTTGCCTTTTTTATTAGTTAAAATAATAATATTTGATTTAGTTAGGCCGCTTTTAAGCTATTTAATTAATTTCTAGGCCTTTTCGAGTTTAATATATATATTCTTAAGTTATTTATTTATTTTAGAGACTTATATATTAAGGCCAAATACTTTAGCTACTTTATTATTAAATTTCCGGGCTTTAAGCTTTATAATTTTATTCTTATAGGAACTTCTAAAGGGTTTTCCGACTTTCCGAATAGTATTATATACTAATTTATTAATATTTATAAGATATTAATTCTCTGCTTTAGTTTTTAGAATTATTTACTAGCTTTTAGTTTTAGACTAGTATTTTATATAATAACTATTACTTGGTATTATATATTTTTTAGTTATAATAGGTATTTTAATACTTGTAAGGCACGTAATAGTAGGGTAATATATAAGTAGTTAAGGTAAGTAAGCTGCAGAGTGACGCTTGCAAGTGTAACTGATTCCAAGAATCGATTCTAATAAAAGACTAATTAATGCTCCTTTCCAAAGCTAGGAGCATCTCCCTATATGTTCCCTAGTGCTTAGCCAAGCCTGCGAAGCACTTTACTTAACTAGGAAATACGATCCCATGTGATCCGTATAATTCCGATTGCCCGTATAATTCCGATCGCAAGCTTTACCTAAAATAAGAAACTAGATCTATAATATCTGACACCTGTCTATACGCCATTACGTGTACCTATTACAATACTAGTTTAGTTATTTTTATTAGGGTTAAAGTCTTCTTTATTACTAGAATTTTTATTATTTTTAGTCTTTTTATTATTGGAATTCTTATTATAATCTAATATTTTATATTTCTTAAATATACTAGCCTTATTTTTGTTAATTTTCTTAGTATCTGGCTTAATAAGATTAATAAGATATTTCTTATTAGTATTATTTATTTTACTTATTAAACTATTAGATTTATTATTACTAGTAACTAAAACCTCTATTTTATTATTCTTAAAATATTTTACTAAGATATTCTCTATAATAATTTTAGATATATTCTTAAGAATAATACGGGCTATATTTTATATATTAATTTATTTTTAGATAAGAGAATTACTATTTTCGTTTATAAAAGTAGTTTAGCTAATAATTATATTAATAATAATTATAGCTATTAAACTTGAAATATTACTATTATTACTTAAGTTATTTAGAATATAGTAAATAGCCTTATTTAGTCTAGTTATAAATAATATATTACTAGAATT